GATACCCTCAATCTGTACTGAAATTGACATTTCATTCAGTGTGAGCCTCAGCCAACATGTGAAGTAACGGCCTTCTGCATTTTGAAAGCAAGGTATCAAGGTAATTCTGTCATTGGTTTCAAGTTTGTATTGTGGTATTGAGGGTTGCTACATTTTTGTCCTGAACTTGATGTGGAAGCAAATAAAATGACATGTAAATAGGGTGCTGCTGCTTATAATTTAGGAATTCTTGCCCTTCTTTTTCAATCATTTTTTTTTTAAATTGACATGTTATCAATGCAGCTGATCCCTCAATTCAAGTATGTTGCTTTGGAGCTTTAGATTCTGGTTCATTGGCTCATGGGTTGCTTGCAAAAGCTCCTGCTAAGGCCTCGCCATCGTGAGTTATTGTTCATTTAATTTTTTGATTATGGAGTTATTTCTTTTTTTAACCTTGCTACTGAGTCATAAAATTCACCTTATGGCTTATTTGGTCTATTTTAAGAAATACTGGTAATAATGAAGGACGGTATCTAACTTTGGAGAATTACAGAATAATGAAACTATTGGTTTTTCAAATTTGTTTTAATTATTAATTGGTTCATCAAATTTAATTTTTTTTTCAGTTTAGTTCTTTATGTTTTTTTTTTTAAATTATCATGTCCGTTTTTAAGTTTTAAAACATAAACAAATTCTCAAATTTAATCTTTTGTTTTCTTACAAAGAGATAATTACATTTTTTTTATTAATTTATATGTTTGTTATCAATTTTGTTATTCATGTTAACAATTTTAATAATATTTTGTATTCATGTTAACAAATTTTAATAGTGTTATTTTATTTTTAAAATAATAAGAAGTAAATTGATAATTAAAATAAATTTAAGGATTAAATTAATAAAATTAAACATTTAAACTTAGCAAATTAAATTAATATTTGAAAAACCAAATTTTATTACCCCCAACTTTACTTGCATTGCATCATATATTTTAATTTCAAGGGACTGAGGATATCACAATGCTTCACATAAAAAAGATTAGTTTTTTTGAAGTGACGTTTTGTATTGGCATCTTTATAGTTTGGTTCATTTTCAAATCAGTTATGGGATTCAGTAAGACATTGCCTCAATAAATTATGGTATGCCAATCCCTTTAATGAATATGGCACACTTGAGTTTCTTCGGATCTTAAATTTAAGATTCCGTCGGTTTTGTTTATTAGTTAAGGTATGCATGTTGCCTCTCTCTAAATGTGAAAAAAGTTAAGTCAAGTTAAATTTTGATTAAATAGATTTGAAATGTTAAGTTAAATTTTGATTAAATTGAATTGAATTTGTATGATAAATTAAAAGTCTGAGCCTAACTTAAAATTTATATAAAGTTTTTCTTACCACTCAATTTTGAGTTTATTTAATGCTTGGCCTGGTTTAGCTTGAAAATTTATTTAAATACCTACTTAAAAGCAAACTTTTTAAATAAACTTAAATTTTAATTTTAAGCATCTTAAATATATTTTAGGATTATTAGTATAAATATGTAACGTAATTTATCAATTATAATATATAATAATTAAAAAGACTTGTGCACTATATTATAATAATAAAGTAATAATATTAAAATTAATATGTAAGTTCAATCTAATTGAAAACATAACTAAAAATAAAAAAAATAGATATTAAAAATCAAATGATAAAACTAATGTGTGTGATATACTACATAATATGTGTGTGGTAAATAGGGTAGTCTATTGAGCTCGTAAGTTAGGTCTTAAAAAATTAAACATGATATATTTAATTAAATAAGTTTAATTAAAGGTTTAAATCTAGTTTGAGTTTATTTAATAAATAAGTTGAAATGAGTTTGAAATAGATTAAGGAGTAAGCCTCTAATAGGCCTGATCTATTCCCATATTTGCCTGTGCCTAAGGACCATTTTGCTTAGGGAAAAGTCTTAAGACCTTTTTTTTTAAAAAATAAATCATACTATTATTTTTGCATTTTATATTAATTTTAATGATGATAATGACAAAGATTTATTTTTGTTCATATCTTATTTAGAATGAGTTATTGTTGGGTCAAATTTTAGTGTTATCATATCTAATTGAAAAGTTGGCCAAAAAAATATATCTAATTGAAAATAATTTTTTTAATGAAAGTTTTTATTTGCAATTAAATCAAGATATGCATATTTTTTATAAATTATTTATTCTATAACAAATTATTGTTATTAATATTATTAAAATATTAAAATTCACATATATTGATTTAATTAGATAAAAGTATATTAAATATATAAAACTAAGTACATAAATCTTGCTCATTTTTTAATTTAGTTTTTTTACAAAAAAAATAAAAGAAATTACGCAATGAGAAAGCCCCACAGTTATAAAAATAAAATAACTAATATTATTCAATGGCTTACGAATTACGAGTGGAGATTATCCATTTATCACAATTTGATATATGTTGTCAAAAAATTGCATCAATTTTCTATCAAAATATGCGGACCAAATACTGAAGTCAAATATAAACCAAATTCATGTTTTTCATAAAGTCCACGTTGATGATCAAAACCGATCTCGAAGGTTTCCTTTCAAAGTCAATTTTGATTCCCACATTTAAACCATAAGTTTCATGCAACATCTGTTTCTGATCAATCTCATGATACTACAATATATTAAATTAAGTATATATTTAGTTTCACGCTGAAAATTATGATTAATATAAAATTAAATGCACTCTAAATGCCTGTTTGGAGATAGCATTTTTCAAATCTTAATTGTACTTTTGGTCCAATATTCGAGATAAATGTTGTGAGAAGCAAAGAAGAGGAACTATTGGAAAAAGCACTTTCGAAATGACAAAAATAAATCAGCCTTTAAGATGAATCAAAGGAAGCATTAGCAATAGATTGAGCATAAAATTGTCAATAAGTCGTTACAGTGAGAGAAGAAAGGATGTTTAGAAAATTAAATACTATTAAGGGCGAGGATTGTATATTTTGCCAACATCTCAGATGATTTTAGCAAGAGATGTTTACTTGCTTGATCTATCGTTAAACAAAATTAACAGTGTCTATGTGATTCTTTCCTCTCATACATGGGGGAATTAATCCTCAAGAATGACATGCACAGGTTCAAGACACGGAATGAAGAGTTTTTTGTGAATAATAATAATAAAAAAAAATCCTGCCATTATTTTGTTTTGTTTTTTAAATTTAATACCCTTGGTCACCTTTGTTTTGTTTTTTAAACTTTGTCAATAGCGGATATTATTTCTTCTGAGATACCGAGGGCAAATGACAGATCTCTCTTGACTAAATTGTTTTATACATAAAGGTTGTGATTTAAAGTCTCAACAACTTATTTAATAAAGGTCCTTATCATTTATGCTATTTTTTTTTATTTTTCATGAGTATTCTTTTATTGGAGATAATCTTATTCTATGCATTATTAGATGAAAAATATTGGCACCTCTTTCACTGAAGATTCAAAACTTAATTCATTATGTTATAAAATAGTATTTTTTTTTTGGTTTGACATGACTCGGTTGATTTCACATGAACTTTAATTGATTATAAAATTACATTTTTCAATTGATCCTTTCTTAAATTTTCGTGAGGCCCATAAATCCAACACTGTTATTTGAAAAGGGCTAAGCAAGGGGCGGCCCTCACTGACATGTGACATCCCTTTCGGAATTCAAATTTGGTTGCAATGTTGTTTGAGTGCAGACATATGTGTCTGTATTATCTTCAATGTTGTTCCCCCGAAATGCTTAGAATGATAGATTATTAGATCATATGATATGGCATAATGTCTTCCACGTGGGTTCTAATGTTTGGAGTTAGTTGTAAGGTAATAAACAAGAACATAGTGGCTATAATACTGTTATCAAAGCTACCTTTTTTCATATCTTATTTTATTTAAAATTTGGACTGATTGGTTTTAAGAATGCTACAATAAAAGTCAGATATGCAAGTATATGATATATGATATCATGGAATCATAGTTAAATATCATTAGATTTAACTGGGAGTAGCTTTTGTAATGTAATTTTTTTCTATTCATGTGTTTGTTTTTTTTTGGGCTCTTATATCTTAGATATTTGATTCATAATAATTTAGTCAGCAACTTGTGGATATTTTTTTGAGGTGTGTATCTCCCATCAAGAATTTAATCATTGCTATATATTTAAGACTCAAACTTAAAATTTCTAATTAAGAGGGATCTATCTCTAACCAGTTGATTCAAATAACATGCGATTATTTATATGGTCTAAACCCCTTGTTATTAGGGAAAACAGACTTTGTTTTATTCAACCAATTGTCAACCATTGTGTTATTAAAAATTTCAGGGAAAATTATTTTCAAAAATCAAATTCAGAAGTTTTTTTTTCCCTTAACAACTTCTAAAGATAATTACTCATAGTTTCACTTATAAATTTATACTGTCTAAATAATAAAATAATGATAAATTTAGTTCAATTTGTAAATTTGTACTATTTTAATGGCAAATAGTCGTAACTGGAATGATTATAAATTTATGGAGGGAGTTTTTTTTTTATAAGATCATTTTACAAAAAATATTAATTTCAGGAATTTTTTTAGAGATTTCAAAGTAATCATACCATCTTCCTTACTTTGTGGGGTTTTTTTTTTTTTTGGGGTCATAAACAGAGGGTCTTTTTCTGTCATTTTTTCAAAAAATTTATACCATAATTAAATGCAAGAAGTATATGTCCCACGAAAGCAAGGCTGCTTGGTTCTGCATTTTTCCCCTTCTCTTTTGTGACCCGTACAAGAAAAAGTTCATGGAAGCCCGCTTTTAGAGGCAAAGGTGTCCGAACTCTGAACTTCAAACCTACACGAGACACATTTCTCGCTTCATAAAAAACATTAAAAAATAAAATTTCCCACTTCCCAATATAGGACACCTACGAAATTTAGCAATTAGGTTGGGTCGTAAACAAGTATGATTATCAAAAAGGCTGTTATTACATTCCTTTTATTTATTTATTTTTTATTTTCTACTACTTTTCCATGACCCCAGATTTCTTTCCTTCTCAAGCCTCAAACCCATCTTTTTAATTCTGTATCATGCCTTCCCAATGCTCGTTTCCTCTTTCATTCAGTCTTTGTCTGTGTGTTAATTTTGGATAGAGAAGCTCCTTTCCCGAAATCGGTGTAGAATTGAGCAAAGGGGAAGACGAAGAAGAAACCCTAGGCAGCAACTATTCGTAACATAAGGAAGGGGGTGTTTTAAATCCGTTTTCTTTCTCTGGTTAGTTTGACTGTCTTTAGAATTTCGGAGTCAGAAGCAGCATTTTGCAGTCGTTATCTTGAATTCAAACTGGTTTTTTTTCTTTTTTTTCTTTTTGGTTGAGATAGATTATATATAATTCAAATTTGGGAGATTGTTCGGTACTCTGCTCTGAGAGACAATGGAAAGCATACCGCACCCAATACCGAGAACAGTAGAGGAGGTTTTCAGCGACTTCAAGGGAAGAAGAGCTGGACTGATTAAGGCCCTCACTACTGGTTCGCTAATTTCTTCTCTATTCTGTTTTTCCTTTTACTTTATGTTTGTGTGTTTACCGAGTTTTTCTATGGGCTCTTGTTGCAGATGTTGAAAAGTTCTACCAGCAGTGCGATCCTGGTGGGTAACTTGAATATCTCAATTGTTTTTCTTTGTCGGGAACCCCTGTTCTCTGTTGTTGTTTGGAATATCGTTTAATATAAAGGTTTGTTTATTTGACTGATTTTAATTGCACCATTTTGATTCCGCTTTCGACTGATGGGGCGTCTTTTATCACATTTGTAACTGCGACTTTGCCCCTGGGTAGTTTTCAATGTATCTCTTTCTTTACTTTTGGGGGGGGGGGGGGGGGGGCGCTAACAGTTGTGTATTTTGAATTTCTGGTTCCATGAATTGATGCCTGGTTGTCACTCTGCTATTAGCTCACGGTAGTTGCTGAACAATTTGGGTTACATTTAACATGTTGACTTTTGCCCTTATGATATGCTTTTTTTTTTTTGGTATGTAATTGGTATTCTTAGTTTCCTTTCCATTCTACTTTTATGTGATGCATTTGTTACTCTTCGGAGTTCTGGCCTGTTTGGAGAGCAGAGTTGTTGTGTCATTCACATTTTCTTTTGGTCATATATACCATTTCTTTGAATTATGCCTGTCCATCGACTGTTGGGCTTATCTATATGAAGACTTGTGTATTCATTTCTACCTAGTTTTAGGCTTATCTGTATGAAACTTGGGCAGTCATGTGAGCCGTGTGTTATACTAATGTGGAGAGTTGAGTACTCGTGTGCACCTTGTTTTTGGCTAAACTGTGAACACTTGTGCAATCTTCTTTGCCTGATTACATAAGAATATTTGTTCACATGGGTTTGAGATGGTAATGGAGTGTAACTGCCATAAATGTCAGGAGTTGGGGTTGAATTTTAGATTCTTTTATTGATGATGGGCAATTACTCACCTTTTTGTTTCCTCTTTCGCAAATGCTTTGATAATTTAAACAGTTGGCATGTTTCATTCGGTTTTGTATCACATGATGTACTTATTGTCAGAGCATTGCTTGAAGAGAAACAAATAACCCATGGCTCATTAAATTTATTAGCTTAGAATCTTGGGATGCCTATTCCATTAAACTTGGCTTGCCTTTTTCCACCTTTGGCTAGTGTTATAAAATTGCTAAGGAAGTTTAATTTGTTGACCATTGAATTCCTGGCTACTGTTTGTTTAGCCTAAGAGTCAGATGAAAGTTAGATACTCAAAAGACATACAAATATCTTATGTTGCCCTGATACAAAGTTACTTTTATCATGACTTTTTAATCCATCACCTTTTGATCTAAAGTTAAAAGGACTTTTGTCTAATTTCATTTGCTTTCTGGTACTTGCTTTTCCAAAGTATGTTTTAAGGTTAACATAGTGGTGGATCTGATCTTATTGCATGTGTCTTTGTAATTTTGGAGTTGGACATTGCGCCTTGTTGGTGGTCCATATGGAAAACACATTCTTGAATTTCTGTTAATTTCAAATCTGTAAATTAATATGTAGTAATGAGGTGAGGTAATATTTAGTTTTGCATGCATTAGTTAAAACAAATTTGCTTGCATTGTAGAGAAAGAGAACTTGTGTCTATATGGATTACCAAATGAAACATGGGAAGTGAATTTGCCTGTTGAGGAAGTACCTCCTGAACTTCCTGAGCCAGCATTAGGTATAAACTTTGCGAGGGATGGGATGCAAGAGAAGGATTGGTTGTCACTGGTTGCAGTTCACAGTGATTCTTGGCTGCTTGCTGTGTCTTTCTATTTTGGTGCTCGTTTTGGATTTGGTAAGAATGAAAGGTAAGATTTCTTGATCTTCTGTTATACTTTTATAAACTTAGAATTTTGTTCTGCATCAACTTAATTCCATCTGTCACTTGTAGTTTTCTAGTAAATGTCTCAGATTGTGCAATGCTTTTAGTTTGGATTTTTCTCTCTCCATATCTTTTTGTGCAAATGATCAACTTTGTTTTGGTTTGTCTAGCCCTTCAAGTTCTAGACTTCTTTAACACTTTAAGGTTGTTGGGAATCTTTCAATTTATTCAGTTTGCCCCGTGTGGATGAAAATTTTCTATTAGCTTAGTATGTTTACAATTTTTTCCACAGGATAAAAAAAGAAAGCAGTGGTGTACTGGTGTAGTCTTTTGATTAATTTTCAAAACATACGATAACATGCATTTTTGTGGGCACATTTGCATCTTTATGACAATCTATTTAGGACACAGTGATATTGCCATTGACGAAATATCCTAATTGTATGCTGAACTGCTAATGCAAGGCAAGGTAGTTATTATGTTATCTTATTTAATTTAATTGAAATATTGTAAATCAAATTGAATTTGAAGTTCTCTTTTATGCGTCCATGTTCCTGCAGTTTTAGTTTTTGGTGGCTACACAAATGCTGCAGGATAGAAGAGCATATGTGCATGGAATATTATTCTTGGAAATACCAATGCAAGATCATCTTTATTAGAAATTAATGATTATGATTACGTGGCAGCAAAAAGATACAAAATACAAAATTGGGACATGACAGTTGACAGCATATTCATTCCAATACTTGGGATTTGCATATGTCATCAATTAATTCCCTTATTTTATGTTAATTGGTCTTATGCTTCAATTTTCATTGCTAGCAATGCTTTCACGAGAGATAGGCCTTGGAACTGTATGAGCCTTTAAACTTGTTCATAGGATGAAGTTTGAAATCTTCAGTAAGGATAGAGTAATTATTTTCCTATCTATGAATACTGGTGTGAATCGTCTTTGTTTAATTGTTGTAAGAAAGGGGAGGTTGATGGTGTAATAAATAAAAATTTCAATTTAAAGTTATTAAAAATTTTATGTGATTGATGTTCTCTCTCAAATAATGTATTTTTGTTAGTTCTGATGGAATATCCTTGATTCTTAGAAACAAGTAATCATTTGGGAAATCTGTAGTAAACCATATAAATCTTCCTCAGTCTAATAATCTTATCTGTCATGCTTACTATTAGTTTTCTGGTGGAGCTTCGGATTAAACTCATTAGTTGTGAGTTGTGACTGCCACAGTGCCACTATGTTAAGTTCCTCCCTTTTTTCCTCTTTTAAAAGCTGGCACTGTGTTTGAATTATTGTTTTGGAATACATCACCTTCCCCCCGGGGGCCTTTTTTTTTTTTTTGGCAGCTGAATAAATATTAGTCTGAAGGTTGTAGTCAGATTTTTTTTGGTAACAGGTCTTCTATTTTTGTTGAGGTTATTTCTTTGGCATGATAAATTATTTGTGGGAACTTTCTACTTTTCACATGTTAGTTCTATATCTGCTAATTGGGATATTGACTGATATTTTATAGTAAGTATTTTTTGAATCTGATGAAATGTTTGTTTGTTTGAAGTGAATTTGGACTGAAAATTTTGGTTATAATACTAACATTTTGTCGGTGAATGTTTAGATATTGTGATAGGAGTTGAATGTTAACACCTAAATTATGACGTAGGATTTTTAATGCTTAAATGATTTCACCTTTGGAATTTCATGTTGATGCTGGGTCTTGGAAATTATTTGGCCTTGCTTAGTAGATTACATTAAGTTTCTATCTGCTGGTATTGTTGATGCATATCTAGACACCAATATTGCTTATTGAATGCTATTGTTGTATTCACTTGTATGTTGCAAGGAAGCCTTGGATCCTGATAGTATATTATTATGCCTTGAAATTTGTTGCACAATCAAGTGACCAACTATTTATGCTCCTTTAGTTAGTTTGTGGTCTTCTATGCACATGCTTGCTGCCTTACTGCTACTTCAATTGCATGGTTAACGTATAAAAAATTGGCTCATGGCTGGCAGAGCAAAGGCTGTATAATATCTTCCTTTGGGTTCCATTTCAGTCCACTATATAATCCCTTTCTGACAGTGCAGTATTACAGACTTACAGTTGACAGCGAGTCATATGAAAGTGATTAGACAAAAGTAGTAGTAACTTAGATCAATCAGAGTACCAAAGACTCTGATAAATGATATCTTGTTTCCCCTAAGAGAGAGAGAAAAAAATACAAAAGGGGAAATTTTTTTGTAAGGAGCCCGAGAAGAATTAATTTATTTCTTGAAATCCTGAAAATATCAGAGTCAAAGGCTTTATGTGACATTCTAGAAGATACTTCTGATCTGGCTTCTCATTGGTGCGTGCAGGAAAAGGCTTTTTCAGATGATAAATGATCTCCCAACCATATTTGAAGTTGTGACAGGAAGCGCCAAGCAATCAAAGGATCAGTCAGCTGCTAACAATAATGGTAGCAAAAGCAAGTCAAGCGGGAAGGTGGTAAGCAAATTTCAACTTCATTTTCTTAGTTTACGTTCCTGGTTCTTCCCCTTTTGAAAAGTTTCTTTGGTCTTGCTGTTTGGATGCTGCTTCTTATCAGTCATCCCAATCTGACTCTCAGGCCAAGGGAGTGAAGATGTCTCCCCCTCCCAAAGAAGAGGATGAGAGTGGAGAAGAAGAAGAAGAAGATGACGAACAGGGGGCAACGTGTGGAGCATGCGGTGATAATTATGGCACTGATGAGTTCTGGATCTGTTGCGATATATGTGAGAGATGGTTCCATGGCAAATGTGTGAAAATCACCCCTGCTAAAGCTGAGCACATCAAGCAATACAAGTGCCCTAGCTGCAGTAACAAGAGGGCTAGAGTTTAGAAGCTCTGGAGGATCTCAAACCAAACAGGACAGACAAGGTTTAGAATGTTTGATAAAAATTTTAAAGTTAAGAACGTTGGTTGCCTGTGTTAGTCAGCTGAACATGAATGACAATGCAGACATAATTTAAAGTTTTGCTAGTGTTTATTCCTACTGTGTCTAATCTCCCTGTTAATTGTGTTTTTAAGTAGTCATTGGCGAACAAGGATATTATATGAATATATCTGATTGCTTTTATGCAGATTTGATGTATTTCTTCTTCACCATCCTTGGTATACTATAACTAATGGTTTGTGATGCACCTTTTCTTATCTGAGAACCTTGCTGTGCCCCTATGAAGCATTGAATATTGAAACAAATATGGACACTGGCATGACAAAAATTCAAATCTGTAATTTAACGTGTTGCACCATGTCCAGGACCGAACTAGCTTCTATTCCTCCCTGTTATAATAGCTCTTTGAGTTTTGACATTTGTTGTTTTGAGGTCTGCAGATCATAGAATGAGATCAGCTTTTCAATTTCCAACCTAAAAGTGATTGAAATGACGAAACTCAAAGGAAAAAGATATTAAATTTGAGTGTTTAATTTAAGCGTCTTATAAACTGAGTAGCATGTGAGTAGAGAACTAGAGAAGCCTGTTTGATCTAAGACTGGTGTGGACATGAATCCTTCAAAATGCTCGTGTTTTATGAATGCACAATAAAAGATTATGATCATTTTTAGCAGGTCATTGAGGAAAACTTCATGGCAGTGGCTTCAGTTGAGTAAAGCTTCAATGGTGGTTATTGTTGCACTAGGCTAGTCTGAAGAAATATTTCTTAGTTTCATCACTTTTATTTTCGAGTAGATGTTTCAACTTTGTTATCCCCTCCCCGATTTGATGTCTGGGTTCTGGATTTTTGGTTAATAGTGGAAATTTAGTGAAGTTCTGTGTAGAATACACTTCATATTGATGTCTGATCGTCGTGAAATTCTCTTCCTTTATAAAACTTTTGATGGTGTTGTATGTGATACACTTCATGTACCTATCTTCGGTCTCAAAAAAGGAAAACGTATTTCCAGTAACTTAGAAATAAAGAATTGAATGCTATTTTATATTTTTACATTAATCGCTTATCTTTTACTTCTTTTTCGTTTTTGCTTTCTTTGTACGATACAGAATCAACATTCTTGGCTTCCATGCTCAATGGACACGGGCTCAATGTCCTAAAATCGGACGTAAAAAAAAATGTTGTGCTCAAGGAAAATGTCAAACAAAATATTGGAAGAAAAAAATAAAAATAAAAACAGATGTCGTCGTCGTCGTCATTTTTTAAATATACAACAAGCCTTGTTCATCGATACATGTGTGTGTGTGTGTGAAATATATGGGCTTCATTTACTAATTATAAATAGTACAACTCACCTCAACAGTCAAAATAGTGTTTGTCTTGAGTCCTCTCCTGAAATATAATTTGGATGATGCATCAAGTGAGAACAGCTTTTGAAGTTTCAGTGTTTGAAAATTGAAAAGTGAAAGTTTTTCATAAAGTACCATACTAGTACTTGGTGTTATCTATTAGCACTTGGAGAGGACAAAAGATAAGTTTTAGGAGAGAAGCTAAAGCTCCTCATATCAGACTCTCTATAATAAACATACTTATTATTATGGTAATTCACTAATCATCCATCTCCTTTCATTTCCCAAAAACAAGATATCCATACCTAGCTTACTCGATGAGAGATTGATTTATAACACAAGCACATGAATTTTAAAATCTTGTTAATGATATAAGGACTTGTTCTTTCAACATGTTTAAAATTACTTGACTTGCTTTGAAGAATTGCTTGTTACTTCCAAGCAAACATGGTTTGAGATGGTGTCATAAACTAACCCAAATGCATTATGCTGATAGGTAATTAGTATTTTTTGGGTATTCTCAATTTTCTTTGGCTACAATAAAAATTTAAATGAATTGAATCTCGAAATCTTACAAAGATCAGGGTATAGCTTCATGCTTAAAAAACACTTATAAAAGTATTTAAAAGATTGTCATCAATAAAGTTCTCAATCAACAGTAAAATTTGATCTAATAACATCACAAGATATAGACCAAATATTTATTAACTAGATAAATTTTTATTGATGCAAGGCTTGTCTTTTTCTATGAATTTTTTAAAACCCAACTCAAACTTTTTTTAATGAAAAGGAGAACACAAATAAAAAGATGACATTGATTAATAATGGAATGTCCAATTAATAAGCAAAGTAGGATCACTTTGCTCATTGGACCCACTACTAAACTTGTGGCTCAAGAATGGGATTCGTAAATTGGACACCAGAACTGTCAACTGCTAGGAGCATGTGGTAGCAACTCCACCTCTATTCATTTCCTATTTCTAATAATAATAATTATTATTTCTATTAATTGCTGTAATTCTTTTTTGTCAAATATATGTAATTATTGTTTGCTTATGAGATATTAGGTGTATTCGTTACTGACAGTAAAAATTAATCTCTCAATGCATCCGAATTCAATGAGTAGTTCAAATCCTCTCTTCTAGCAAGTATTTCACGTGATCATTAAAAATGTAAATGCAAGATATAAAAATAATACCAAATCACAATTTTACTTTTTTATTGTCCCCTGTATCTTAATTCAATACTTATTTGACTGTAGAGAAGTTTTTGAAATCCACATTCATAAAACTGCCTTTTAACTTGCCATTTCATTACACATGAATTTTCAAATGTTGAAAAAATAGATTGGACAATTATGTTCGACCACACTTTCAGGGAGGGAAATAAATGTGCCGATTGATTATCTCATTAGGCTTACACCGATAATTTATGAATTCGTATCTTTAATATCTTGTTGTTTGATTGTTGTAATATTTTGTATGCTGACATGACTCGTATTGTCAATTAGCACAGTCTACCCGTGGCTTTCAATTCAAGAAAAAAAAAAGTTGATAAAATACTCCAAGTTACAGCTACAGTATAGACATTTACTGGATTTGAGAATTTGAAACATTCATGAAATCCAAATCTTCTCTCAATGTACAAGGGGGAAAAAAAAAGGATATGTGACTATGCTCATTTTTTATTTTAAGAAAAATATGTGTAGCATATTTTACGTTATCCTTAAAATATTATTTTTTTTTATTAAAAAAAGTTAAAAAATTTATAAGGTCAAAAGAAAAAGTGCAAAGATAGATTCAATCCTCATCCCACCCATCCACGTGGATCTAATAATGAGTGAATCATCAAGTTGTACGTGATTTTAGCTTAATTGATTTTATATAAATGGATAAGCTCTACATTCAATTATATCTAATAGAATGAACTTGACCATTGTGGATGTTTCCTAACAAATGATACAAGACACGCCCACTACAATTTCTCAATTCATGAAAGAAATCCTCTCTACATACATATACTCGTGTAAATTCGTGTGATGATTTGAGCTGTATTGTTTATGGCGTATAAAAAATATAACTAAAAATATATTTTATATTTTATATTCAGGTTTTTTATATAATTATCTGATATTCAATATTAATATGTTTTATTTTGGTACTGTTAGGTTTAGATCTGCTTGGTTATTTTACATTTGTGTGTATGGATACTTTTTTTTTTAAATAATTGTTATAATAACATTTGTGTTTGGATATATTTTTTTAAAAGTCAGTTTGATAAACTGAAAATTATTTAAACTATGATAATAAAATATATTTTTGAATATACAATTAATAAAAAGAACACTAATTTATGATGATTTATAATCTTTATTATACAAGTGTAATAAACTTAAAATATTTAAAAAATATGATAAAAATTTTAAATAATATAAAATTTAATGTATAATGCTAAAAATTTTACTTCTAATTATTTGTATTTTTTCAATTTGTAATTTTAAAAAAAGTGATAAAAATTTATAATTTTTATTATACATTAATGTTAAAAATTAACATGATTAATTGTTTAATTTACAATGTTAAAAAATTGATATCTAATTATTATTATTTAAATGATAATTATATTTTCAATAAATTAATTATTTTAAATAAAAAAATAACATATTAAACTTAAATAATATGATCAAATAATATCTCATTTTTTAAAAACTACTGAATGGTATTTTGAATTTTTCACGCTTGAGCCCATTTCAAAAGTCATTTTTTAAAGCCTTTTTTGCTTTTAAAAAATTATTTTAAATAGCTTTTTATGTTCCAAAAGTAAAAAAATACTTTTAGAATGTGAAAAGTTAATTTATCAAATGGTGTTGAGGAGCTTTTGAAGTTTACTTTTAAAATATGATCTTCTTAATTTTTAACATGATCATGCTACCCTTAATTTGTAATTTTAAAAAAAGTGATAAAAATTTATAATTTTTATTATACATTAATGTTAAAAATTAACATGATTAATTGTTTAATTTATAATGTTAAAAAATTAATATATAATTATTATTATTATTTAAATGATAATTATATTTTCAATAAATTAATTATTTTTAAATAAAACAATAACATATTAAACTTAAATAATATGATCAAATAATATCTCATTTTTTAAAAACTATTGAATGGTGTTTTGAATTTTTCACACTTGAGCCCATTTCAAAAGTCATTTTTTAAAGCCTTTTTTGCTTTTAAAAAATTATTTTAAATAGCTTTTTACGTTTCAAAAGTAAAAAAATAATGTGAAAAGTTAATTTATCAAATGGTGTTAAGGAGCTTTTGAAGTTTACTTTTGAAATATGATCTTCTTAATTCTTAACATGATCATGCTATCCTTAATTTTTATATAAAATATTGTAAGCATATTTTTTACATATCAAATTAATAACATTTCTTAACAAAGTTTTTTGAAAAATAAGTTGACATTATTGACTAAACAATTAATTGTGCTAATTTTAATTATCAATGTACATTGAACAATTTATATAACTTTTGTTCAATACATTAAAATTTAGATTTTCATCCTTATTATTGAACATATCAAATTTTGTATTATTTAAAATTTGAATCGCATATATTTTTTAAACATTTTTAATATTAAGCATCTGTATAACAAAATTACATATTATAAAAATCAATGTTTTTTTTTATTATTACACATTCAAAAATACTTTTTATTATATATAATTTAGATAATTTTTAGTTTACTAAAATGAAATTTTAAAAAAATATTTAAATAAAAATTTCATTATGTAACAATTTATTTTTGTGACATTAATTTTTATTAAATAAATTTTTGACAAACTAACTTTTAATTTACAAAAAATCAATTGAGCAATTGATTGGCTAGTTTTTCTAATTGATTTTTTTCCCTAATTTGAATATTTAATCTTGCCTAAAGAGAACTAAGTGCATTACATTCCACCCAAACAAAATCATGATCCAGACATAATTGTGGAATGTGCTCACGATCGCTATACTTGGGATCTAATCCTTGAGAAAGTCACTAACTAAACTTATCTGATGTGAACTAACTTGATATTTCCTTTTGTTTTATAAATTTTGAAATGGTCCAAAGTCAAAACATAAACTATAGTGTATTCGGATATATTCATAATTCATAAATTCATAAATTATGGGCATTAACAAATTATATATGATTATACCACTTATTTTGTAACATCCCAATTTAAATTTTAATAGTTAATTTGGGTTAATAGAAATAAAAAAAAAATATTTAGAGGTAAGAAAATTAGTAAGAGATGATTATTAAATCTAATTTAGGATATAATTCTAAAAAAAATTAATTAAATAAAAAAAATTTAAAAAAAAAATAAAAAAAAAAAAAAATATATTATTAAATTATTATTATAATAAAAAAAAGGAAAAGGTTTGCAAAAAAAAAAGGGAAGAAAACATGCCGCCGCCTCAATAGTAACAATAGTAAAGAAAAATAATAAAAAAAAAAAGAAGAAGAAAGAAGAGAGAGAAAAGAATAAAAAAAATATGTGGGACCCACTGAATTTTTATAAAACTCACCCGTTTCCTTTCATTTCTGCAATT